AGCCGTTTTTTGCCAGAGTCTATGTGAAATTTCACTAAAACATTTTAGCCGTTTTTAGCCGCTTTTTTTTGCCAATCTAGCCGGTCGGCCCAAAAAGTTCTGGCAACACTGGTGGCGACCATGCTCACGGAGCCACTCGGCTTTCACGTACAAATCGTGTGTGCGACGCTACCGAACTTATGCGCCTCCAGCAGCCGGTCAGTTTGCGTTTGTACTTCACGCTGTAAGCATTGTGGCCAGAACTTTTTGGGTCAACCGGCTAAATTGGCAAAAAAACAACCGGCTAAAAACGGCTAAACTGTTTTTACTAAATTTCACATGTTTTATTTAAATAACTCATAAGTATAAAGACTAGTTCTTTGCGAGAAAATGCAAATTCAAGCTGGAAAAAATTTTGCCAGCAAGAATTTACAGTTAAGAAAAACATATGATTGTGGTGCATGGTTGCATTTTTTTCGACGTTAATTTGAATAAACAGGTTCGTCAAATTTAAAAATTTATAAACTTGAGCGATTTTAAAATAAAAAATTTAAGTAAATACTTGTTTCCTAAATCACTTTAGTTAATTTCAATGATTTGAAACGTACTCGGAATGCAGAGTCGATATAGGAAGCGCGACAGTTAGTACGGCAAAGAAATTGAAACGTATGTTGAAGAAAGTCAGACTAGCAAGAAATATACATGTTTTTTGCCCCTTTGAAAGAATTTTAAAATTCTATACAAATTTCTTATGTTTGAAATGCAACCGTGGACACTAGCTGGCAGGGAAACTTGCTAGTTCCTGCAAATTTGCGTTCGTGCAGAAATTTGCAAGTTTCTCTACTTGAGAGAAAATTTGGGAGCATTTTTTCTTACTAACTGATATTTTGAGTGATAACACAGGTTTACATATTAGCTTATGCATATTAAACCAAACCTATATATCCCTATGTTATTCGACACGCTGAATGCGAATCCGAAGTCCGTTAGTCTTCACCACGTCAGGTTCGTGGTCAATTGAAGGCCAAGTAGGGAAAAATTCATTGAATAAACCTGAAAATTCATATACATAAGGTTTTACATTCGCTGAACCCGAGTCTGGTCCGTTAACCTCCATAATGTCAGCTTCGAGGACATTTGAAGGTCAAATAGGACAAAATTTATAAAAAAAAAAAAAAAAAAATTGTTTTTGTTGTCACTGAAACCGAGTATGGAGGTCCCTTGATTCCTCAAGGTCATCTGGAGGTTATCCCAAGGTCATCCCAAGGTCAAATTCCGATGAATTTGATTGAATTTTCAGGTTTATTCAATGAATTTTTCCCTACTTGACCTTCAAATGGCCACGAACCTGACGTGATGGAGGCTAACGGACCTCGGATTCGCATTCAGCATGTCGAATAACATAGGGATATATAGGTTTGGTTTAATATGCATACACCTTTTGTTTGTAAACCTGTGTAATTTTCGCTAGATTTTCACAAACCTATTGCCTTCCCAGAGAGTTTTGGTTTGCATAGAAATTTGTGCTCTTTTACTTTAATTTTGCCGCATTTCAGTGTTGGTTCTTTTAATTAAAGTTGGCCTTCGGTTTTTGGAATATAAATAAGTTCTCAGCAAAAAAAAAGTTAGTTTAAATAAATCCATATGTGTACATAGTGCTTGAAAATATCAATTTTTTCCTTACCTTAAAACTTTAAGCGAATATGCGCTATCTGGGAAGACAATACCTGTAACATTTATTCTTGGCACTATATCCGAACATAAACGCGTGTTAACCAAACAGTGAAACAATTTGTTATTTTTTAAGTTTGCGAATAAAACTTCACACTTAAATTTAAGTCATTCATAACAAAAATTTTATGAAGAAAATCCCCGTTGGAAAAAATATATTCGTTTAAAATAAAAATAAGCGAAATCGGCCCAATTTTATATAACCCTGCCTCAGCGATAAGGTTAGTAGCCATTTT